TCTCTCTGGGGGATTTATGATTTGTAATTTTTAACACCATATGGATTATCTCTTTGAAATCAGCCCAACAAACATGTTACAATATTTTCATTAACAAGGAATGCTCCCTAGGGATTAAACAGTGCCTAAGAGACTGTTCTGCAGAGTTCTGGAGACTAAGCTGTCCCATGTATGCTTATAATTTCCCCTTCCCCCTTTGATGGGAACACAGAAAAGGAAAAAAAAAAGATGTGAATTCATTTTATCGTGAGGAAAAAACTTCAAATATACATTGAACTGAAAAGAGAATACTCAGAATAGAAATGGCTTCTGATGTGAAAATAATTATAACATTTAAGAAATTGGGTTCTCTAAAAAGACTGAAATATTTTATCTATAGCATCTTCTAGCTTCCATTCTCAAAAGACATGGAGGAAAACTGTGAGCTGTAAGCTTCCAAAGCTTTATGTCTAACAGAAGAAAATATGATCTTTGCTAGAAGAATTAGAGATGTTCTATGGTTTTTCACAAAGGATTCCATAGCTGTGGTAGCACAGAGCTTGGCACTCACCTTCCTTTACCCTACTTTAAGTAGAAGAAAAGCTCCCTCCCCAGATCAGTGCAGATTTTACTTCCATTATGTATTTTTTGAAAATAATACTAATAGAAGTATCTGATGAGGAATACACAACTTAGAGAAAACTTCAGGTTAGAGCCTTTTTTAGGCAAAACTGCTTTATTTTCAACAGTGTATAAAGTCTGCAAGTATCTGACCTAAAAATCTACTACAATCACCTACTGGTGATTTTTCTGAAGAAGGAAACTTTCAGGTAAAGAGAGCAGGGAAAGAAAGCCCAAGAGACAATGTTAGTCTTTGCTCACCTATATCACTTTGCAGAGAGGTGTTGCGAGACAAGTTCCTGAGCAGTGAGACTGCTGTCTTCTTTACTGTGGGATGGCTCACATGCAGCATATTTCGAATACTTGGGAGGCCACTTGCCTTCTGAACAACAGTCCGGGCCACCGCAAATGGCATCTGTTATAAGGCACGTGGCAATGGTGTGTCATTCCCATGAAAGTACAGCCTCTTAAAAAACCACAACGGTTTCTCTACATCAATATAACTATGTTTAAAATACTTTAAATCCAGAGTTACATATGAGCTGCAATAGAAAATGAAGGTGATATAGAAGAAATTTTGAGCCCTCTTTCTCTCACGTGCACTTTGGCCAGTTCCTCAGGCGGAGGTTGTTAGTTTCTTTACCACAATAGGGATCTGTAGTTGTGTCAGTGCCTTCTTCTGCCTACAGGACTGATTACGCTCCACAAAACCCCTTTCTGGGGCTTTTAACATCTACTCATCCCTCATGGTGCAACAAATTAGCAAATTGGTGTGGAGGTGTACAGAGAGTGAGAAAAAGCAGTACCCTTATTTGCCAAGCAAGAAATAGCTGCACTGCTGGTGAATGACTTTCCTTTCAATATTGATTTCCTTGATCGTGCCTGTGAACCAGTGACCTGCCACTGCTTATTTGAGCTCAGTGCAGAGTACATGTTGCACTGCAGCTCTGAACTCTATACATTCACATTAAGAACTAAAAGAGAAGAAAAAGAAAAAAAACTGACTTACTGGTCCACTGCCAGCTGTGAGGTTTTGAAGAGCTCCAAGGGATGCTTCCTGGGTATAATTTCTGGTGCTCTTTGCTATTAAGGAGATATATATCCTAATCAGTGTGGAATGCCAGAGTGATTCAATACCTCTGGGACTGCTCTTTTCCTCAGGAAGCGGGGTGTCCTGCTGCTTCTAAACATGTAAACACATCAAACCTTTAGAAATCATGACCTTATATGAGATAATGCATCACAAGCTACAGTAGCCATTTTGTAACTTTCTATGACCAGCTTATTTGCAGATTGTCAAGTTGCAAACTCAAATGACAACATGTAAAATTTCAGTATTTAACAATAGTGGCCATTCCATCCAAAAAGAGGACATAGGTATGGGGGGAGCCGCTTCTCTTCTCTCAGCAACAGACACTAGGGCTCAAGGTTAATGAGAAACAGAAATGGCCAGCTAGAGTTGTACTGCAGATGGAATGAGAGAAGGCAGAATATATTCCAGCAAAACCAACAGATGAGGAAGGATCATTAATCCTTTTCTTTCACTTCCACCCTCCATTATACCTGTTTTCCCTCCAACAACTCCCAGTTGTCAGAATATACGTGATCTGTACCACATGGCATCAAAAGAAGAGGCCCTAGGATAGCTCAAAGGCCAGCAAGTCATGGATGTGGCAAGTTGCCTTGTGCTGGTTTCACTGGTGAAAAAAAAACAATACCCACTTGCTGGTAGGGCACTTGCACAATTGCCATGGAACAGATGCCACTTAGATCTACCAGAGGGGATGAAACTGAGTGGCAGTATTCCTCAACCAATGTAACAGTGAATTGCTAAGTAATTTTTATCATTAGCAGCTGAACAAGATATTGTGTGTTATGAAAGGCCACCGGTAAATTTGCATTTTGGTGGCAAGTAAATGTCATACAACCATATACATCAATAACAGACTTAATTAGATCAGAGCCTTACTCTCCAGAAGTTGCTACAACTGATTAACAAATGAGATGTTAATAAACATTTGCTTTACCTCTTTTACTTTTCTGCTCCGTGTTCCAAAACAGCCTGGTGTTTTATCATTGTTAGAAATATTTCTTCTTTGCATATATATGCTCTGGACATAGCTCTCAGGGAGCTCTGTCTCTAGCTGGTAGGAAAGATTGTGAAGAATGCACACACAGTTTTCTGTAGCCTAAAATAACAAAAGAATACAAATCTTGAAAGCTTCGGCATGCATTGAAAGGACATGTCCAGGCATGGGAAGAGCTTTCAGTTTTGGATTTTCAACAACCAACTGCAGAGCTTCTAATAGCTTACAGAGAGCTAGTTTTCCCTGCCAGTGATTCACAAGGCTGCATATACACTGATAAATTAAACATGCTGTGGGATGCTCCTGAACACTGCAGCCAACTGGCACACAGGGTTTGCATTCAGAGCAGGGTACATGCCTGTTGGAAATGGTCCTGGGACATTAAAACTCCTGAATTTTGCCTGGGAATTGTTTGGGCGAGTGCTCTTTGGCAAAGACCAGAAGTGTTCCAAGGAATGTTTAGGAGCTTAAGACTAAAGGTGATCACGTACACATCTTGCCGTGGCATCAGCAAAAGGCAAGTTTTCTGTATTTCCTAGGAGGAAGCACTTTTCTGAGGTAGAATGCTTTTTAAAATCAGATGTGCCTTTCTGGGCATGCTTAAGGTCAGGTCCACATTTTCTGAATTATGAGTTTAGTGGCAAATACTTTTATTACCAGTTCCTCCTTTTTTCAAAAGCAAAAAAGAATGAGTGGTTTTAAGACAAAATGCAGCAGGGAGCGGCACAAGTGTAACGTGCTGGTTTTTCCCTGAAGCTAATGGCACTGAATACAGAGAGATGGAGAAGCTCGAGTAATTAATCCTAGCTATAAATGTGCAGTAATTACCACTACACAGCCCAAGTTATAGCAGGTAGGCCAGAAGTGCCTCACAGGCTAGGCTAACCTTCTCATAAGTGATGGTTCATCTTCTAACCCAGCTAAAACACTGGCATCTAGTCTAAGCAATGTTCAGGGTTTATCTGCAGTCAGTGGTGGAAGGAATAGAATGAGAGGACCTGGCTCCTTGAGGTGTCCATATCCTTGTATTTAATGGCTTAGGAAGCAAGTATAACTTCTAAAAAAGCTAGGAAATGTCATTCTAAATCATTCAAGTTCTTTATTTACACTGCTACCCAGAGGGATTTAGGTTCTTCATTTCCTATGGGGTATATAGGACTGAATACGCAGAAGAGTAACCAGATTTTTTTTTTTAAGCTTCTACCTAGCCAGCTCTCTGAGACAACTAAAAGGTAATACATGACTCTTCAGGTGTTTTGGTAACTCTGAAAGCTGTGACTTTATGTTACTTTTTTAAAAAAGGCAGAATTTTCTAGGTCTCTCTGGTGATTCTCAAAATGCTTTTCCAACACTAAGGTATGTTATTACTTTAGATTGCAGGACAAAAATACTTCAAAAAGCTTCCTACTGGACTTTGATCTTTGATGACAGTTCTAAAAGCTCTGGCAACAAGGATAAATTTGGCTATTACATTACAACTATTTCGGAACATTGGATTTCTAAACAAAAAAAAAGTTCTCTTTGCAATTTTTCCTAAGACCTTTCATCTCAAAGAATACCTTGTCATTAGGCTCGTGGTCTGCAATAGTTCCTTGAATATAATACACAAGAGAATCAATCAAGCCGTCACATTCTCTCATCTTTTTCCTTCCTTCTGGGCCAGCTGAGCTCATGTTTCTGTGCGGGAAGGAATACGTTGGTAAGAAGATATTTAGTCAAAGATATTTGCTTGAGATCCTCTGACAAACTTCTCCAGCTATATCTGAAAGATACTGAAGTTAAGGTTGACTGCTTCCTTACTTCAGATCTGTAACATAATCTGAGCCTCTGCTAAGCAAACCTTTCACTTCAGTGCACTCCCAAACAAAAAGAAATAATCAAGAAAAACAATTTTTGTGTTTGGATGGGTAAGGTAAGACCTGACTCAAATCTTCACCTCAAAGTTTAATCAAGCCTTTCTAAACAGTCAAACAAACTGGATGTTTTTTCCATTATTCCATTTTTAGTTCTATTTTGAATGTTTGGGACAGTAGCTATGTCAAGATGTCAGAGGAAACATACCTGGAAAAATTTCTATGCACACAAATGCCCTTTAGTGCTTACCTACACACAACCAGTTTTTAATCCCAGGTGACCCATCAATGGACACATGTTCTGAGAGTTCGAGCAACATTTTTACATAGTTAGGTAAAGATAACTGATGTCAGGGTTAAGGGGCCTAATTCATGTGGCAATACATGGGCTGGTGGAAATGCTCCGAAGGGTGCTAGTGGGCAGGTGGGGATGCTAACACAGCTGAGCCAGGAGGTCTGAGCAGGAGTGTGGCCCCACCCCTGGTGAGAAGCTGAGGGGCTGAATTGCGAAGTGGCTGCCACTGGCTGGCCCAAAGGAGTGGCCGAACC